GCAGCTCCAGGTCTCATAATACTCAACCAATTTAACCAATATTTCCACTTTTTTGGTGACTCAGAGGGGCCCCACTGCCAGAATTCCCCCTCAGAATTCCAGCCACACACCCATCCCTGGGCAGCCCTTCCAGAGCCCATCTGAGCTGGCTATAAATACACGCCCGGCTCATCCATCGACATTTAAATTTAAATATAATACCCTGCCAGGGAGAGAGAGGGCTTGGAAATATCTGAGGGATGCGGTATCTTGGAAACCGATTGCCTCGAGCTGCCCAAATCAATTTCACAGTGAATCAACACATGGCTGTGGCGTGGGAGCAGCGAGCAGCTGCTGCTGCCACCCCTCCCTGGCCCTGGCCCTGGCCCTGTCCCCAGCCCTGTCCTCACATCCATGTCCCTGTCCCCAGCTCTGTCCCTGTCTCCAGCTCATCCCTATCCCCAGCCCGTGCTTGTCCCCAGCTCTGTCCCCAGCCTGTCCCCAGCCCTGTCCTCACATCCATATCCCTGTCCCCAGCCCTGTCCCTGTCCCCAGTCCTGTTCTCATCCATGTCCCCATTCCTGTCCCCAGCTCTGTCCCCAGCCTGTCCTCACATCCATGTACCCATCCTCAGCCCTGTCCTCATCCATGTCCCTGTCCCCATCCCTGTCCCCATCCCTTCCCCCAGCCTGTCCCTGTCCCCATCCTGTCCCTGTCCCCAGCCTGTTCCTGTCTCCATTCCTGTCCCCAGCCCTATCCCTGTCCCCATCCCTGTCCCCAGCCCTGTCCCCATCCCAGCTTTGTCCCCATCCCAGCTTTGTCCCCATCCTTGTCCCCAGCCCTGTCCTCACATCCATGTCCCTGTCCCTGTCCTCATCCATGTCCCCATTTCTGTCCCCAGCCCTGTCCCCAGCACTATTCCTGTCCCCATCCCTGTCCCCGTCCCCAGCAGGGAATGGCCCCGGGTGCCCCAGCTGCTCCTGCTGCCCAGGACAGGGCACATCAGGGCAGGAGCAGGGAGGGCACTCAGTGGGTTCATATCAGCTCAGCTGCTAAACTAAAGAGGGGAAAACCCATTGAAAATAATCTGCAAAGGTGATTGGTGTCACTGACACATTTTATGAAAAATCCCTCTGGCCAGGATCTTTTCTCCTGAGAAGCTGGGAAGCTTCATCTTCTCCACAATGTGATTTTGAGGATTGTTTACCCAGCATGTGAATTGTTTTTAATTGATGGCCAATGACAGCCACCTCTGTCGAGTCTGTGAGCAGTCACAAGATTT